GCCTGGGGCGTTGCTCATAATATTTGGTAGCCTGGGGTGTTGTTCATAACGTTTGTAGCCTACGGTGTTGTTTATAATGTTTGGTTGCCTGGGGCTTGGTTCATGATGTTTGTAGTCTGGGGTGTTGTTCATATTGTTTGGTAGCCTTGGGAGTTGTTCATAATGTTTGGTAGCATACGGTGTTGTTCATATTGTTTTGTAGCCAGTTTTGTTCATAATGTTTGGTCTCCTGGGGTGTTGTTTATAATATTTCTAGCCTGGGCTGTTGTTCATAATGTTTGTAACCTAAGGTGTTTTTCATAATGTTTGGTAGCCTGGGGGTATTGCTCGCGATATTTGGTAGCCTGGGGCGTTGTTCCTGACGTTTGAAAGCCTAGGGCGTTGTTCATAATGTTTGTTGCCTCTGGTGTCGTTCATAATATTTGTAGCCTGGGTTTTTTAATAATGTTTTTATCCTGGGATGTTGTTCATGATGTTTGGTAGCCTGGGATGTTGTTCATAATGTTTGGTAACCTTGAGCGTTGTTCATAATGTTTGTAGCCTGGGGTGTTGTTCATGGTGTTTGGTAGCCTGGGATGCTATTCATTTTTTTGTAGCTTGGGGTGTTGTTCATAATGTTTGGTAGCCTGGGGGTGTTGTTTATAATGTTTGGTAGCCTGAAGTGTTTTGACGATGTTTGGAAGCCTGTGTTGTCCATAATGTTTTGTAGCGTGGGGTGTTGTTCATAATATTTGTAGCCTGGGGTGTTCTTCATAAAGTTTGTAGCCTGGGGTGTTGTTCATAATGTTTGTAGCCTGGGGTGTTGTTCATAATGTTTGTAGCCTGGGGTATTTTTCATAATGTTTGGTAGCCTGGTTTTTTTCGTGATATGTGGTAGCCTGGGGCGTGAGTCCTGACGTTTGAAAGCCAAGGGCGATGTTCATAATGTTTGGTAGCTGTGGAGTTATTTTAATGTTTGGTAGTCTAGTATGTTGTTCATAATATTTGGTAGCCTGGGGTGTGGTTCCTGACGTTTGAAAGTCAATTGCGTTGTTCATAATGTTTTGTAGCTGGGGTGTTGTTCATAATGTTTTGTAGCTGGAGTGTTGTTCATAATGTGTGGTAGCCTGGGCATTGTTCATGATGTTTGGAAGCATGGGGTATTGTTCATAATGTTTGTAGCCTAGGGCGTTGTTCATGATACATTGTTGTTTGAGGCGTTGTTCTTAATGTTTGATAGCTTTAGGCGTTGTTTCTGATGTTTGGTAGCTTGGGGCGTTGTTCATGATGATTGGTAGCTTGGGGCGTTGCTCATGATGTTTAGTAGCTTGGGGCGTTGTTCTCAATGTTTGGTAGTTTGGGGCGTTGTTTCTGATGTTTGGTAGCTTGGGGTGTTGTTCTCAATGTTTGGTAGCTTGGGGCGTTGTTCACAATGTTTGGAAGTTTGGAGTGTTGTTCCTGATGTTTGGTAGCTTGGGGCGTTGTTCTCAATGTTTGGTAGCTTGGGGCGTTGTTCACAATGTTTGGTAGCTTGGTGCGTTGTTCCAAATGTTTGGTAGCTTGGGGCGTTGTTCACAATGTTTGGTAGCTTGGGGCGTTGTTCACAATGTTTGGTAGCTTGGGGGTGTTGTTTTTTATGTTTGGTAGCTTGGGGTGTTGTTCACAATGTTTGGTAGCTTGGGGTGTTGTTTCTGATGTTTGGTAGCTTGGGGCGTTGTTCCTGATGTTTGGTAGCTTGGGGCGTTGTTCCTGATGTTTGGTAGCTTGGTGCGTTGTTCCTAATGTTTGGTAGCTTGGTGCGTTGTTCCTGATGTTTGGTAGCTTGGGGCGTTGTTCCTGATGTTTGGTAGCTTGGGGTGTTGTTCCTGATGTTTGGTAGCTTGGGGCGTTGTTCCTGATGTTTGGTAGCTTGGGGTGTTGTTCCTGATGTTTGGTAGCTTGGGGCGTTGTTCACAATTTTTGGTAGCTTGGGGCGTTGTTCACAATGTTTGGTAGCTTGGGGCGTTGTTCACAATTTTTGGTAGCTTGGGGCGTTGTTCACAATGTTTGGTAGCTTGGGGCGTTGTTCTCAATGTTTGGTAACTTGGGGGTGTTGTTCACAATGTTTGGTAGCTTGGGACGTTGTTTTTGATGTTTGGTAGCTTTGGGGCGTTGTTCACAATTTTTGGTTGCTTGAGGCGTTGTTCTCAATGTTTGGTAACTTGGGGTGTTGTTCACAATGTTTGGTAGCTTGTGGCGTTGTTCACAATGTTTGGTAGCTTGGGGTGTTGTTCACAATGTTTGGTAGCTTGGGGTGTTGTTCACAATGTTTGGTAGCTTGGGACGTTGTTTTTGATGTTTGGTAGCTTGGGGTGTTGTTCACAATGTTTGGTTGCTTGAGGCGTTGTTCTCAATGTTTGGTAACTTGGGGTGTTGTTCACAATGTTTGGTAGCTTGGGGTGTTGTTCACAATGTTTGGTTGCTTGAGGCGTTGTTCTCAATGTTTGGTAACTTGGGGTGTTGTTCACAATGTTTGGTAACTTGGGGTGTTGTTCACAATGTTTGGTAGCTTGTGGCGTTGTTCACAATGTTTGGTAGCTTGGGGTGTTGTTCACAATGTTTGGTAGCTTGGGGTGTTGTTCACAATGTTTGGTAGCTTGGGACGTTGTTTTTGATGTTTGGTAGCTTGGGGTGTTGTTCACAATGTTTGGTAGCTTGGGGCGTTGTTCACAATGTTTGGTTGCTTGAGGCGTTGTTCTCAATGTTTGGTAACTTGGGGTGTTGTTCACAATGTTTGGTAGCTTGGGGTGTTGTTCACAATGTTTGGTTGCTTGAGGCGTTGTTCTCAATGTTTGGTAACTTGGGGCGTTGTTCACAATGTTTGGTAGCTTGGGGCGTTGTTCACAATGTTTGGTAGCTTGGGGCGTTGTTCACAATGTTTGGTAGCTTGGGGCGTTGTTCACAATGTTTGGTAGCTTGGGGCGTTGTTCACAATGTTTTGTAGCTTGGAGTGTTCTTTCTTATGTTTGGCAGCTTGAGGTCTCTTTGGGTGTATACAGTAGGCCAGACTAGCCCAGACGGGGCGCAGAAGAGACTTGAAGGGTTGAATAACCACTTCCTCTTCCTTGAAATCAATGGTTCTTTGGACTATTCCAAGGGTTTGGTTAGATTTTCAATGTCTGGTGGATCCTAACTCTTGCGCCAGCTTTGATGTGCATTGTTTACCCTACATGCAAGGTCTTGTATTTTTCAATATTGAAAAGCATTTGCAATTCTTGTCCGAAACGTTGTGTGTATTAGTGGCTTTAGGCAAAGTATGTACTAACTCTATCTAAAAATTCAACATTCTGTTTTAACTCATCATGTATGTATGTACTTTTACATGAATAAACATTTATTATTTATATTTATAAATATGTATTATTTATATATGTAGGTCGCTTAGTAAGGCGCCAATAACGGTTTTGCTTCCTACTTTGCTGCAGATATTAGTGTTATCTACAATCTACATGATGAGGCTTTTAATGATATTACTTATGCCATCTACATCTATGCAAGGGAGAATGTTTGCCTGTGCAAGGCAGGAGGTCAGATGCCTGGGGCTAACCTTGCACTACTTTGCAGGTATCAGGTGTACAAAACAGACATAGGTCGGCGCCGGCTTAAATTAAATACTTTAAGAAATATCTACCTCTGACCCTAACCCGAACCCTCTGTGCAATTTTGAATACAAATTGAAATTTCGGGTGACTTTTCAGGATAATTTACTTACGCCGTTTACCCGCGCACGCATTGTCATGATTTACTCGTAAACGGTTACAGCGATGAAGGTAGTGAGTAGTGAAGATGGTTATGATGATGAAGGTAATGAGTAGTAAAGATGAGTATTTTGATGAAGTTAGTATGTACAGTGAAGAAGATTGTTTGTAGGTAACATGAGGAGTCAGAGGAAAAATTAGAGGGGGGGGGGGGGGAATTAGTATGGGAGGGGACAAGGAGGATAAAATGAGGGGAAATGGGGGGTAAAATGAGGGAAGAGGAAACGATAAAAGGGTATAGAGATGGGGAAAGAGGATGGAGGGGGATGGGGAAAACGTGATATGAGAGAGAGAAAGAGCGGAGTGAGAAACCCTATCGGATGTTCTCCATGACTCAGCAAATATGAGAGATTCGGTTGATTGGACGAGTTTTCCGATGCGCTCTGTCTGCTTTTTTGATGATAAGGCGACAATTGATTACTCCCACTCTAGGGGAATTTCTCTTGGCCCAGAGTTTCTGAACAGGAATTTTAGTGGTACAGTTTTTCGGCCAGTTTCTTTACGATTTTAGATTGAATTCCATCTACTCCAGGGGCTTATGATCTCTTTAATGTGTTAATGTTCTTCCTGATCCTCATGTTATGGGGCCATCCCTTGATTCATTCCCTCCCTTGCTTCCAACATTTGTGTGGAGGATGTTGTCTAATGTTACCAGTGTGAACACTGATGTTGACAGAGTGTTAGCTGCCTTGTTATCATCCGCAGTCATACCGTGTTGGTCTTATCATCAAGGGTCCTTCTCAGTCCTTTGTTTTGGTCTTACTTGTTACGTGGGCATTGGAAAATGTGATTCTTTTTAATATCTTGAGTAAGTTTTTTTCCTAAACCTTCAGCTGGTCTGATTCCCTGGGAAGCTAAATTAGTATATTTCTGTACATCTCGTAATCTATGTGATTCCTGGTGGACTGAATCTCTACAGAATTTTTGCTTGATACTTCACCTATTTTTTACTGCCTGTCTCATCCATCTTTTTCGTTCCCTCTCCTCAGTACGTATATTTGAACACGTCTGGTGATAATCTTTGACAAATTCCTAAATTGTTTCCAAGTCTTGATAAAGTAACCTCCTTCAGGAAGTATTTTCCAGTTCCTCTCTCCTTTTTAGACAGTCTTCGCCAGGGTAGTCAAGAAAGTCATCATCTTGAACCATTATGTCATTTCGAGAGTTGTTTTCCACCTATAACGAAATATAATAATTCAAACATGGCATTATCGTGTTGTTCAGGTTATCCGTGGGCCACGGACCTGACCAAGACCGCCGCTGGACCAGTGTGGGGGGACGGCACTCCCTACAACACCACTGAGCTCAGCCACACCATCAAAATGACCACCAACGACTACGACACCGTCCATCAACACTATGCCGTCTACGACTCTTATCTAGACGACTGGTACGACGATGCGCTAGTTAATGTTGCCTGTCAGACCAACCCGCGGGGGGTGGACTGGTAACTGGTGAGGTAGTGGGGGTGGACTGATAACTGGGGAGGTAATGGGGTGGACTGGTAACTGGTGAGGTAGTGGGGTGGACTGGTAACTGGTGAGGTAGTGGGGGTGGACTGGTAACTGGGGAGGTAATGGGGTGGACTGGTAACTGGTGAGGTAGTGGGGTGGACTGGTAACTGGGGAGGTAGTGGGGTGGACTGGTAACTGGTGTAGTAATCGGGTGGACTGGTAACTGGTGTGGTAGTGGGAGTGGACTGGTAACTGGTGTGGTAGTGGGGTGGACTGGTAACTGGTGTGGTAGTGGGAGTGGACTGGTAACTGGTGTGGTAGTGGGGGTGGACTGGTAACTGGTGTGGTAGTGGGGTGGACTGGTAACTGGTGTGGTAGTGGGGTGGACTGGTAACTGGTGTGGTAGTGGGGTGGACTGGTAACTGGTGTGGTAGTGGGGTGGACTGGTAACTGGTGTGGTAGTGGGGTGGACTGGTAACTGGTGTGGTAGTGGGGTGGACTGGTAACTGGTGTTGTATTGTAAGTAGTGGGGTGGTAGTGGGGAGCTGACTGATAGTGTGGTGGACTGGTAACTGGTGTGGTAATGGAGTGGACTGGTAACTGGTGTGGTAGTGGGGTGGACTGGTAACTGGTGTGGTAGTGGGGGTGGACTGGTAACTGGTGTTGTATTGTAAGTAGTGAGGTGGTAGTGGGGAGCTGACTGATAGTGTGGTGGACTGGTAACTGGTGATCACGAGTGTGACCAGATGAGTGTAGTAACCCACGTAGTAACCCTTGTAGAGTGGGACAATCAGCCTCTTGTGGTTGCTGTAATATTAACCTTAGTTGTTTAAACTAACAGTATGTTTAACATATAAATGAACAATGTTAGTGAACAAAGCATCTATAAATCAACCTGTATACTAACACAGACCTCCAGGTGTTAAACCTTTATTCAATAAAGTAGTGGAGAACAACTATGGTTTTAATGACCCCTGGTTTACACTGATTGTATAACATGTAGCACCCATTATGAAGTTAGATATAAATCAGTGAATATTTCAAAGTTCATATTCAACACCATTCACGAGGACAACCAGCTGGTGAACATTATGAACGGAAGGTTTTATTTACAAGGGCAAAAGCCATGTTATGAATTAAAACTTAGAATTTGTATCAATCTAAACTTGTTAAACGTTTGATGAGATATATTTAAATATTTCAATTAATTAAATTCAGTTCTATTGGAATCAGTTTAATGCTTTGTGTATGGTGCAAGTTGATTCACGATATGAGTATTTCTCACTTGTATAGATGGTTTCATCCCTCACATACCATGAGAATATGTCGCCCCTCACACCATGAGTATGTGTCACCCACTCATACCATGAGTATGTGTCACCCACTCATACCATGAGTATGTGTCACCCATTCATACCATGAGTATGTGTCACCCACTCATACCATGAGTATGTGTCACCCACTCATACCATGAGTATGTGTCACCCACTCATACCATGAGTATGTGTCACCCACTCATACCATGAGTATGTGTCACCCACTCATACCATGAGTATGTGTCACCCACTCATACCATGAGTATGTGTCACCCACTCATACCATGAGTATGTGTCACCCACTCATACCATGAGTATGTGTCACCCACTCATACCATGAGTATGTGTCACCCACTCATACCATGAGTATGCCTTGCCCCTCACACCATGAGTGTGGCGCCCCTCACACCATGAGTATGTGTCGACCCTCACACCATGAGTATGTGTCGACCCCTCACACCATGAGGATGTGTCGCCCCTCACACCCTAAGAATGTGTTGCCCCTCACACCATGAGGATGTGTCGCCCCTCACACCATAAGAATGTGTTGCCCCTCACACCATGAGGATGTGTCGCCCCTCACACCATAAGAATGTGTTGCCCCTCACACCATGAGGATGTGTCGCCCCTCACACCATGAGGATGTGTCGCCCCTCACACCATAAGAATGTTTTGCCCCTCACACCATGAGGTGTGAGGGGCGGTGTGTGTGTGTGTGTGTGCGTGGAAAAAATAGTAGTTAGTAACAGTTGATTGATTAACAGTTGAGAGTCGGGCCGAAAGAGGGGAGCTCAATCTCCGAAAGCACAACTAGGTGAATACACAAGAAAATATTACTCCGCCTCACACTCCAGGACTCTCCACAAGGTGAGGTCACTGTGCTAGGAGAAAGGGAAGTAAACCAGGCGGCATTGGAAGGGTTCGAAATTACGAGTGAGGAGGTCAAGAGACACCTGCTGGATCTGGATGTTAGAAAGGCTGCTGGTCCAGACGGGATCTCACCATGGGTACTGAAGGAGTGTGCAGAGGCACTTTGCTTGCCCCTCTCCGTAGTGTATAGTAGGTCACTGGAGATGGGAGACCAATCAGAAATATGGAATACGGCAAATGAGGTCCCAATATACAAAAAAGGGCGACAGACAAGAGGCACTGAGCTACAGGCCAGTGTCCTTGACTTGTATACCATGCAAGGTGATGGAGAAGATCGTGAGAAAAAACCTGGTAACACATCTGGAGAGAAGGGACTTCGTGACAAATCGCCAACATGGATTCTGGGAAGGTAAATCTTGCCTGACTGGCTTAATAGAATTCTACGACCAGGTGACAAAGATTAAGCAAGAAAGAGAAGGATGGGCGGACTGCATTTTCTTGGATTGTCGGAAAGCCTTTGACACAGTACCGCATAAGAGGCTGGTAAATAAGCTGGAGAGACAGGCAGGGGTAGCTGGTAAGGTGCTCCAGTGGATAAGGGAGTACCTAAGCAATAGGAAGCAGAGGGTTACGGTGAGGGGGTGAGACTTCAGATTGGCGTGAAGTCACCAGTGGAGTCCCACAGGGCCCTGTACTCGGGCCTATCTTGTTTCTGATATATGTAAATATCTCCCGCAGGGTATAGATTCATTTCTCTCAATGCTTGCTGACGATGCCAAAATTATGAGAAGGATTAAGACAGAGGAGGACTGCTTAAGGCTTCAAGAAGACCTAGACAAGCTGAAGGAGTGGTCGAACAAATGGTTATTAGAGTTTAACCCAAGCAAATGTAATGTAATGAAGATAGGTGTAGGGAGCAAGAGGCCAGATACTAGGTATCATCTGGGAGATGAAATTCTTCAAGAGTCAGAGAAAGAGAAAAAGACTTGGGGGTTGACATCACGCCAGACCTTTCCCCTGCAGCCCATATCAAGAGGATAACATCAGCGGCATATGCCAGGCTGGCCAACATAAGAACGGAATTCAGAAACTTGTGTAAGGAATCATTCAGAACTTTGTATACCACATATATCAGGCCAATCCTGCAGTATGCAGCCTCAGCATGGAATCCATATCTAGTCAAGGATAAGACCAAACTGGAAAAGGTTCAAAGGTTTGTCACCAGACTAGTACCCGAGCTGAGAGGTATGAGCTATGAGGAAAGGGTACGGGAATTAAACCTCACTTCGCTGGAAGACAGAAGAGTTACGGGGGGACATGATCACCACATTCAAGATTCTTAAGGGAATTGATAGGTTAGATAAAAACAGGCTATTCAACACAAGGGGCACACGCACTAGGGGACACAGGTGGAAACTGAGTGCCCAAATGAGCCACAGAGATAGTAGAAAGAACATTTTTTTTAGTGTCAGAGTGGTTGACAAATGGAATGCATTAGGAAGTGATGTGGTGGAGGCGGACTCCATGCACAGTTTCAAGTGTAGATATGATAGAGCCCAATAGGCTCAGGAACCTCTACACCTGTTGATTGACGGTTGAGAGGCGGGACCAAAGAGCCAGAGCTCAACCCCCGCAAGCACAATTAGGTGAGTACACACAGTATGTCTGGAATTTATAAGGTAAGGTATTTGGAAATTTATGTTGCTTTCCATGGCCGCGTGCCAGTGGACTTTGACAGCCTCACGGAGAAGTGTCAAGAGCATGTATTGAAAAACAAAGCGAGAGTACACTGGATGTTGCAAATGAGCACTCAGGAGTTACCTGAAGTGCATGACGCCAGCTTCCACACTGTGTATGAAGTAACTGGCAGCGACCATGGAGATGGGGATTTCCCAGTGGATGATATCGATACCTCTATGTATCTAAGAGTTCTTTGGGCTGTTAGTCCAGAATTCATAGTTGAAGAGTTTAATAATATTGATTCTATTGGTCTCAAGCTTTGTTATCCACTAAGTTTTTAGTAAGTTTGCCGTAGCAAAGCACGTAGTACACATTATTATAATAATATATACAGTGAGAAAATTCGCGCAAAGAATGTGTTATGTTTACTATATTTTTCTGGGTTTGAAAATATTGTTATGGCCTTGAAACTTTTGTATATACATGTATTGTTTAATTACGAAAATACTGTTGGAAAACTATTAGTTATAAACAGCCCTCGTTGTGATAATTGTGTCATTTATAAAATACCTTGTTAAGACTGTAATAGGTTCTTTCTATGTTGGGCAAACATCTAAAGATTTGAAATGTAGAATTTCGCAACATAAATACTCTGTAAGACATGGCCAATTGTCTAATGCTTTGTTTGTTCATTTGTCAGAACATTCTTACCAAATTGATTGGGAAAGGGCTTCTTCAATAACGAAGTGTAAAAGCACTTTCAATAAGAACATAATTGAATCAGCTTTAAAACAGACTACAAAATCATGTAATTTGTAAATTAGCAGTGGTTTGTATAATTTAAAGCCATTTTTATTGACCAGTTAGAGAGCGATTTTGAGTAGGATCATTGATGCACATTTGTCTCAGTAATACCCTGTTAATAGGGAAGATAGAGTCAAATACACAATCACAGAAAACGGACTAATTGTGGAACAATGATAGATGATATCATCGCACATTAGGCTCGATGTGAGGCAGCCCTCTAATCTCTATGACCCAAATTGAATTGCCTCGCTGGCCGCCAGGGGCGGCCAAGACGTGCTCACCCTTACCTGCCAGTTGTTGCCTGGTGTTGAGTGGAGGCGGGTGCGGTTTGGGGTGCGGTGCGCCCGCTGGCCTGGGACCTG